CCCTACAGGGCACACTTAAAACTGTGCCTTATTTTGGCATTTCTTATCCTAATGGGATTGGATTTCTTTCAAGGGTAATTCTCACCCTGAGCTACTTACCCCTTGCAAAAGTTGATTCTGAGATAATTACAACACTCTGTTGATGTTCATGCTGTGCCACTTACAGTAACAATGGAGTTATGATAAAAGTATTTGCTGTGGAATTGCTCCACTTGTTTAATTTTTGAAGCATATTCTAGATCTGCTACCCCTACATTCCATGTGTGTATCATGTTCAGGATATTCACTACTGCCCCTGACCTAGCATGAAGTCTTGCCTACGTGTCAGTGAAAGCCACCTCCACATCCAGAGCTGACAGAATTTCCTGGAAATTTTCATGGCTATTCATTATTTACCAAATACACAGGAGACCAAAACAAATATAATAGTAGGTGTTTGCAAGAGGGTTAGTTTCAGCCAATCACTCAACCATATATTAGAAATTTTTAGCAACAACTTCATGTCTCAGACTTACCTGCAGAAAAATGACCAGGTAGCACTCTAGCACTGTCACGTACACTGGCTGTATCAGCCCTAGATAATTTGAGGACTATGGCATGTTTACATTTGTGCCTTAACTCTGCAAACAAGGAGTGGTGCTTTTGGTGCTCACACTATGCATTTCTTTCCATGACTGATGACCTGGGGGAAAAATCTTCTAGAGCTAGAGAAGAAACCAAAACTATTTTTACCAAGCATTGTTGTACATCAAATCATTCCTAATCAAAATTTTTACCAGGAAATTGCAACCCACTTGTATCCATTTGCCTTTTATATTCTCCCAAATTACAACTCCCTGAACATTAGAACAAGCTTGAGTCAGGAACACATTTACTCTTAAGCTGCTGACTTCCATTCATACATGCACACTCTGAATCTGTTCTCTGTGATTCAAAACTGATGTTGCTGATGCAACTCTCGAAGATTTAAGAGAACTGATGTTAGGTACAATGAGATGAGCCTTTCAAATCCATGCATGGTTAGCCTGCAGCTGGCCTCTTCTTGTACCAGACTTAGCCAGGTGGATATCTAGAATACTGGAGCCATTAGTGCAGCTGCCCAGGCTGCAAAGTGGGTGCCAGTGCCAGCTCTAGAAAAGGGAGCATCTGTTACTGTCAAATACAAGATGCATGAAAAGGCTAAAGGAGAAGACAATTTGCAAGCTATTCAAGATGACTACTGGGTAAATGAAAACACAGCTAGTGACCTTCTTTCATGGCTCTTGATCATCTTTATCATGGTTCAGAAAAGCTGTATTCACAGGTGACAGGAGTCCAAGTCTTACTGGCCATGTATCCCAATCACAGCTTATTTTTAAGGAAGGTGCAGAGGGAAGAGAAAAGAAATAGTATACCTTTGTTGACAATTCACCTTTACCCAGTCTTCAGGAAAAGTAGATGGGCACAGTTCACCTTTGCTCCATAGGATTTCTTTGATCACAAAAACATTGGTGTGTTTTGGCCTATTTTCAGTGTATGTTTCACTGAGCGCAGGAAGGTTAGTATTTGACTCATCAAGTCATGCATTTGGAGGTCAGGAATGATAACCAGGCAGTTCATCTGTGTAGACATAATGCAGACTTCCTTGTATGTCTGCATCATGAGCTAGACTCTAATTACTACATTTTCCACAGGCAATTACCTCACTCACTGCAGAGGTGAGACCAAACCATGGGGTGGGTTGGGGTGGGAACATGTCACAGCACTCCATAGGGAAGGAGGCTGTTTGCCATAGGAAGATTTGCTCATTCAGCACCACAATTCAAAAGAAGAGTCAGTAGCAAAGCAGTGTCCTACAGGACAAAGAAAGATGATCATGTAGTTAAAGGAAGACTGGTATAAACCTATCTTCTACTCCAGATTCTTCCTAATAATGCTGATAAGTCTCTAGCACCGAGATTTTGGCATATAGCAGCTCCTCATGTTCCTCAATCTCTTCACTCCTGCAGTGCTAAGCAATCCCAATGCACTGGGAATCAGGAAAGTCTCCTGGATCTGTGTGTTCAAGTGTGTGTTCAGTGTTATGAACACAAGGGCCTTTATGGCCATAGTGTCCTTCATGTTCTTCCTAGCACTGCCCTGATCCAGTCTGTGGTGTTCAGGAAGCTGCTCTGCCTAAGTGGCTACTCAGCCCTTCTGTATGTAAGATAAGCTATTCAATTTCTTTATCAGGTCAAGGAGGAGCAGGGGGGAGAGGGAGTTACTGATTTAGCTCCTTCATATTATCCTAAAATGTTAAGTAGCATGATTTCTCCCACTTTTTCCATCTCCACTAGGGACACAAATGGCACTTAAATTTATTATCCTATAGTCTCATCCTTCTTATTCTACAAATACTCACTTCTACTGTACAGGATAATTGTGAAGGTAAATCTTGAAGTATGACTCACACACTGATATTCCAGAGAGTGTAGGGACAAGGCTAGGAAAGAAGGCAGTGAAGAAGGAAAATGAAAGAATATATTGACCAGCCAGTTCAGATCTTCCTCATTCATTTCATACATTTTGTCTGCCTTACTCACTATGAAAAAATATGTCAGTAATTAAGAAACATTGCACCATAACACATGTTCACATTGGGGCTGGATATAGGCACCAGCTTCCACCTGGATATTCCAATTTCACTTTACAAACAAAATAACTTTTCAGACTGTATGCATACATTTTTATGCAGATTCAGGGGAGAAGAAAGAGTAGAAATGGTGATATTTCCATTCTTGCATGTTAGTAAGAGCAAAAATGCTGCAACAAACTCACTCAACGTCTGTTTGAAGTCTCAGTATTTTTTAATCTCATATTAAAAATAGAATGTTAATTTTCTTAAGCTACTGCTCTTTGGTATAATCAAGGCAGTTTTATTTGCTAGCTAATATTTGTGAAATACAATGTATTATATCAAATTCAGTATCTAAACTAACATTTAAAATACAAAAGTTTTCCCAAGACAAATACTACAAAAATCTCATTGTCCATGTGTATGTCTATCAGTGTCTCTCACAACTTTGGAGTCCATTCTCTAATTTAAATCAGACTTGACTGCAGGGTCAGCCCAACAACTCCTTTGAGATTCAGCCCCCATCCACAAGCTTCCAGTGTCTCTGATTCTTTCATGCTCTGAAGGGTAATTTTCTCTGCATTCAAAAGGTTGAAAAAACAAGAGTTCTTGGCTATTTCTTCCTACCCATCCACAGACCAGCAGCAGATTCTTCCCCAGTCATCACCAACTAGGAGCTTGGAGGAATTTCTTGAGAAAAAAAGAAAGAAGGAAAACGAAAATAAGAAACATGTCTAAGAACAAGATACAATTAGGGTTAAGGCTTTATCCTGTATGTGCAGCAATTAGGAGGATGCAACATTCAGAGGAGTAAATTAATGTTAAACTTGAAGAACAATAATATAGAGTAGACAAAGATTGGTACTTCAAAGACTGAGCTTAGAATTGGGTCCAAACTTTCCTGGAGTTCAGTGTGCTAATTGTGGGCGATCTAGCCAGATCAGGAGCTCTTACCCTTCTACGAGACACTATGGATGTTAAATAATCTGCTGTCCAGATTCAGACTTGTTAGCACATAATGTCATGGTTTCAGCCACTGAAATCTCTGCTGAATGCAGTGCCACTGACACTAATGAAACTAACCCTCCCCCCAAACTTTCCCACTTTCAATGCATATAAACATCACACTAAGTGCTCTAAAGCTGAGCATGCAGAATAGAGGAACATTTTAGCAACAATCGAAATGCCAACACTTTGGGAGAAAAATACAGTATCTGTTTTACAGTACATCATAACATCCTGGAGTAGGAGATAACAAATATTACAGCCAGATGAAAGCACAGGAGGGGGATTGAGTAAACTAAAATACTGCTGGCTGTGCAAATGGAGTCGAGTTGAACAACAAAGTTGTCCTTTGGCCAAAAACTTCCTGTTTACATTTTAAGGAGTTAGTATCTCCAGCAACTCCTAGGATAAGAGTTTTTTTCTGTGTTGCAGAGATGGTGCAGCAGCTACTGAGCTCTACAACTACTCTGTCCAAACCCTGCTATTTGTCCTGGGTTGTCTTTCTACCTGACCCCTGACTGTCCCAACACTCTTCACTTAATGCACTCAGCCAGGCCAGCTCCCTGGGTGACTGTGGCTGGTTAAGAGTGATTCGACTGAGATCTAAAAAACCCCTACATCAAACAAACAGCAAACCCAATCCCCAGCAGAGCTGCAGAACACAGCAACCCCAACAGCGTGGGCCAAGCCCTTGCTGGACAGCACCAGTGTGCACCAAGGGACCATACCTGGACACAGCCAGCGCCGTCACTGCTGCACTCATCTTACTCGGTTTGCCAGTCAGGGCAAGGCTGGGATTCAGTTCCCGACAGAGAACAAGATGTTTTCCACACTTGTTACCTGTTGTGTGGTTTAAAATAAATATTTAGAAAGTGTCTGGGGGCAGCATGGATGGGATTGTTATTATTTACGGTCAGCAAGTTGTTAAGTTGAGAACAAATATATTTAATCTTGGCCTGTGCTGTTGCAAAATAGGCCCATCCCAATTTAATTTGTGGCTATGATAGTTACATGTGCTGACGTGCGGCTGTATCAATTGTGTGCTAAATTGGATTTGTGTATTATTGCTTTCTAAATTGCATGCCTAGTTCAGCAAAATTGTTCATCAGTTTTCACTGGCTCTATGCTTAATAAGATGCCCCACAATACCTTGCTGCCAGGATATAATACAACCCATAATTGCCTAGTAAAAAGAAATTACATAAAGCCTTGGTATTATCAACTTATCTAAATCTGCTCATAACAGAACCAATAATTAAATGCTGAGAACATTTCACATACACACACATACATACACACACACCTAACAACTCAATCACAGTTACTTTGGTCTTTTTAATGACTGTGTTTTCTATTAATTTTGTTTTCTTTAATACACAGAATGAGATGTGGCAATATTTGGTCATTGAAAATAATTCTGAAGTCATCTGAACAGGTTAAGGGAATATGACACTGCTTTGATTACACTTCTTAACTCTTTAATAAAGAATGCTGTTGCTGTGTGCATCTGAAGACATGCAGCCTTGTGTTCATATGCAAACAGGTGTGTGTGTCTACACATCACCAGACGACACAGGGTCAGTCCATGTCTTCTGTGATCTTCTTTGAAAAAGGCACAAACAAGAGTGTTCTGCTGTGCTCCCACGGACAGCATTTAAGTCCTCATTTAGAAAAGTGTTTATGGTATACATTTTACAAACAGCTAAAATCTCAGTCTGTTCAAAGAGATGCCTATGCAATTGTACCTTAGTAAATAGGACCTGGAAGGACCTGCCACAGGAAGTTATGGATAAGAACATAGGAAATTCTTAAAAAAATTTAGACTTTCAAAAAAGAATCTGCAAAATGATTACAGAATACTACAGGGATTTTGGAAAGAGAGCTGTCTTTTGCTTTGACTTACAGCAATCTTTGATTAGAGATGACAACAAAACCAAGTATGTAGCTACCATAGCCAGACTATTTCATATCTGGCATATTGGATGTCCTTGCACCTTCTCTAGAGCCATCTGGCTCTAGCTACTCTGAGACATAACAAGAGGTAGGATAGGCATCTGGTTTTGCAGTTATACATACAGAGGCATATTGGAAATATTTCTACATAGCAACCTAAGTTCCATGAACAGCACTTTTGAAGATCTCAGTGGTAATGCCCAATTACTGTATCTTTTTTTTTTTGCAGATGTTACATCAGTAGCCCTATATTTATGCAAATTGTGTGCCTAAAATTGAAGTAATAGAGAATGTCTGTAATAAGGACCACAGCAAATAAGTGGTGTAAATGATACATACTAACACCACAATTCCTTTCTCATAAAAAGCACTGGGAAAAGAGGAAAGCTGTGCTATTTAGGATGTGCCTTTAAAGCTTCCTGGCAGGTTTCAGCTCCTGTATTTGTTAGAAAAGAGAAGTGAGCTTGAGTTGTTTCTAATACCAGTCAGCACTGTAGCCCCATGATCTTATTAACCTCAGCTCTTTGAGAACTCCAGGGTATCAGCTTCAGCTTCACACAGCCTTGAATAAACAGCTCCAAGCACTAGGGCCTGCTGCTGGCCTCCCACCAGTTTGAAGGGCCTCTGACCTCTTTAAAGGTAGCAAAGACAACAAACTTCACGGTTCCACCCCAGGGCAGGATCTGGCACTGCCCACTCTGACATTAAGCCAGGACACTTTAGTACAGGTCATCAGCAGAGGTGCCAAGGCAATGGGTTCTCTGGAGCCAGGACAGTTCATTAGTTTCATAGGTTTGTGCAGAAGGATGGTCTACCAAGGTTGACAGATCCCATGACAGAGCCTATGAAAAAGCTTTCAGCTTTATCCAGGCAGGATGTGTCCAGGAGACAGCTGGCTCAAGGGTGCTCCCTAAGGTAGGGCTGTGACTACCCACAACTGTTGCTGCTGCTTACAGTAACATTGCACCAGTTCCCCACACCATCTCCCCTTCACATCACTGTGCTCACATCCCTTCTTTCTCACAACCAATCAAGGTCTGCAGCACACAGTGACACTGCAGTTCACAGCCCACCCTGTGGTCATACCTCTGCTGCCTGGCTCTTCCGTCGCGTCCCTCTGCGGTGTCAGTCCAGCAGCTTGGTCTGGGGTATCAGTATATTCAGTCTTCCACAGCTGTGCCAGTAAGGAGGTAAAAATGGAAAGAGCATGAATTATATCAATGAGAGAGAGATGCAGCTTCTGCTTCCCAGCAAGGGGTGGAAATTGGGTTTCTAACACCAGAACAGGATTTTGCAGTTGTCTCTCCCCCTGGCACTGCTGCAGGGAGTCACACTTGGAGCTAGTGGGGTTGCAAGGCTGACACTCTAACAAGGTTTCCAGTAACCCAGGGAGCTCTCCTACCAGCCTGGAGGCAGAACCAGCAGTGAATTCCTGCTCCTGAGAAAGTATGACTTAACAAACTGAGCTGTGGACCAACTCTCAAAAAGCACACTCAAACCTATTTCCAACGGGCGATAGCATTTTTGCTTGCAGAACCATCCCAGAATGGAAAGCACGTTTTCAAAACTCTCCCTGAATGGCAAAGACTCCCTCATTCAGGGGGATAAAAGTTTATAGGAAGCAAACATTTTACTCTGATTTTCAGTTTCTGCCCTGTGCTGCCCTGTTAAGAAAGTGGCATGGGCTTTTAGTAGCTCTGTCCCTCCATTTAGAATGCAAAATTCTGCCTCTGGTCTACAATGAATCAGGACTACTTTTCCTCTCTCCCATCTACCTACCCTCACCACTCCATCTGTGCTTCCTGTGATGATGATGCTGCGTGTGTCCCAGTCCATCACGTCAGCAAAGCAGCAGCAAACAATGTGGCAGGTGGGGCTGCTGGCAGAGTTGATGCTTGCAAGAAGCTGCCCATTGACTGTCCACAGGTACAGGTAAGATCCAGCACAAGAGATAATATCACCCTGTAACAAAGCAAGAGGCAATGTCTCAAAATCCTACACTTATCCTCCTCATAACTCTTAAGTGCTGATTAGAAACTGCAGAGTTGTTCTGACTTAAATTCTGACCATCATTTTGCTCCCAGGGAGATGATGTAAACCAGAAAAAGTAAAAATTACTTTTTTTTTTCCCCTCATGAAAAATTCTGACATTTTTTTATCACAGAAACCTGAAACAACTGTCTCAGATTCAGCAAGATAATGCAGAAACAAAGTTTTTTCACATTTTAAAATTAAAACATTGAATTAAATGTTCCCTTTCTATTTTCCATAAAATTTAGGCTTTTGGAAAAAAGGTAGACTGACAGACTGACTGAGCTACTGTCAGGGACAGGGACTGTGCACAGCCATATGCCTAGCATAGGCTCTGAGCCAGGACTAGTGCTCTTATAAGTTTCACAAATACAGATTCTCTTAAATAAGGACATGGTGTTCACCTGCTTAGCTGTGAAGCCTTTGGTGATTTCACAATCCTCCTCTGCCCCTCACAGGGAGCTTACTGTCATCGCATTTTTAGACTGCTTTGCATTTGACCAATGACCAGCTCTGCATTCTGTGACCTGCACTTCTGGTGCAGAAAACAACCTTTGCAACTGAATCTCTCCTCTCCACACCATGCAGGTGCAGTCTTACCATAGACTGCATGAAAGGAGCAAATACACAGGTATTAGGGGCAAGAAACACACAGAGCCAAGAGCCAATGCTGCAACTGTAAATGATCTTATCAAAAATGCTTTTTGATCACTAATTGAAATTCTACATAACCTTTCCACTCTTGATCCATACTAAGAACTAGCTAAATAGAACACCATCACCAGAGTCATCTGATTCTGGCAAAGGACAGCATGCCCTTAAATTAGCAGCATGCATCTGGTTTAAATCAACTAACACCTTAGTTCACCCCTGCCTCATTTAGGGCCAGGGCTCTTCACACCGCAGGGCAAAATTCTGGAGATAAAAAAGGATAGTGTGTTCAAAACAGAGTTGCAAATAATACAAGAGGTTAAATTTCAGCTACCTTATCTGCATGAGAGGACATAATGTCTGGGCATTTGGTAATGATCTACAGTGCTTTTCAGCAGGGGATTTAAAACTTAAATCATTAGTTACAGCAAACTTTTACAATCCTCCGTAGCTTATAAACTTTTTGGGACAGCCTTCTTATTTTGTGTCTACGTGACACAAACACCATGAGGTTTGGATCTATAGATGGAGCTTCTAGATGCTCAAGCAAATACCAAATCCAACAATGACATAAGAAAGACCTGTAGAGGATTCTTATTTCACAGAAAAGTATGTGGTTCAGAAATTTATTTGCTTCAAAACTTTGCTTTGAGCTGTTCTGAATTTTTCAGGAAATAAACCTTGTTACCACACATGTAATTTTGTGCCAATCAAAATATTTAGCACAATGGAAACACTTTGTTTCTATCTTCATGTTACAATACATAAATAAATAGAGAAGAATTAAACAAAAATACATTTTAGAATTAAGTGTTCTCTTCTGCTAACATCAAAGAGAATTTTTTCATCCACAAGATATGGACCCTTCATCTTATTTTCCTTGAAGCTTTGTTCATACTTTCCTAAGGCTTTTCCTTTTTTAAATTAACCTTCATGCAGACTGTTATCCAAACAGTTGAACCATTTGCACTCCAATAAACTGGAGAACTGCACTTGGATCGATCACCAGACTGTTGCTGGCACAGACCATCTCATTTTTGGACAGCTCTGGAAGAGCAGATACCAGCTGAAAAGACTACAGTACTGGCTGATACATAGAAAGGAGAGGACTCCATTCCCTTGGGATCTCAAGCCCATGCTCTGTGCCAGCCCACCCACTCATTTTTGAACACTTGGCACTGCTTCAGTTGACTTCATGAGGGACCACCAAAGTATTCTGAACTGGCCTGCCCATTTTACAGTAACCAGGACCCCTCAGGCTGGGAGTTGGGCTGGCACTGAACAGACTACTTAATTCCCACCCTCAAATTGCTAGTCATCAGACTGCATAGATGATAAAGTTCTGATGTGAGATGATTGTTTTGGCACAAACTAAGTGGACAATATCCGCCTGGTTTCTTATTGCTATGAACTCAATTTTGCCTCCCTTGGTAGAATCTCCAGTACTGGATCCAACCTTGAACTGTCTGAGCAGCTGGAAACCTGCTCTAGTATGTTAATAGACACAGAAAAGACAAATGTGAAAACAATGTTTTGGGGAGGCAGAAGGTTGGAAAACAATAATTCTCATCCAGGGTGTTTACAGTAAAATCTAATACGGAATATTTTCCCATCAACATGCATGTAATTCTGGCCAGGAACAGTCCTCAACAGATTTATACTCACTGCTATCAAGAGCTTCCCCCACACCTGAGAGTAGAAGAGAAAGCAAAAAGTCAACATTGTCACCACAAAGGTGTAAGACAGTTCTCAACTGAGGCAGCAAACTGCAGTCTAACATGGCTCTGACATGGCTCTGCTTCATGAATGTCAGGAGAAATTAATGAAATAACAGGGACAATAAGGTTATGGGTGAGTCAAATCCAGGAGATACTAGGGTAATACTTCATGCTCCATAAACTGAAAGTTGTTTAATATTGCTATTTATCCTTCCAAAGAAGCTTCTGCTTAGCTACTCAGCCTAAGATGTTGCTTTTAGTGCTTGCCTCTCATCATTAAGAACACTATTAGCAATCTCTGTAGAAAGAAAAAAAAATCAATGTATCAGACTCTCAGGATGTTTTTATGTTAGGAAAAGCACCCATTAAATTATCATGAAATGTTCATGGACTCGTCAGAAGAAAGATGATAAATGAAGATCTTACTGTTGAATTGTTGATGGCCACAGAACAGAGGCTTTCCTCGTGGGCAGGAAGCTGGTTTATGTACGTCAGCTGGTTCAGGTCCCAAATGATGCAGGTTCTGTCATCGGATCCACTCACAAAGATGCTGTAGCTTACAGATGCAGCAAGGCAGGTCACTGCCTGAGTGTGCCCATACAAAGCCTGGTGGGGAAAAAGCAGCCAATAAACCACTGCAGAGGGTGGCTGATTTACTAGGGAATCACAGTCCTACTGTCATTTGCTTAGTAAGAACAAGCAACCTAGTCATTCTTTGGAGAACTGAAGAGGGTATAAGGGGAAAATAAAAGGATTGTATAGAGAGGCATCAACTCATAGTTGAAGAAAGTTGAGGGTCCAAGAGATTATATGACTTGCTCCAAGTTGCACAGTGACTCAGAGCCCTTGCATGCATTTCAGACTCTTAAGACAGTGCTTTATGCTTAGCAACAAAACATCATTTTTCACTTCAGTCCATGCAGTACTAAGTAAATTTTATGCTTGGAAATTTCTCAGTATTAAACCCCACTATTTGAAACAAAACCCATCAGGATGTATTTCACTGACCTTCTCAGTCTGATTTTTCTGTTTATTTGAACAAGTACTAATTTTTTTCTAATATTGGTTAAGAAGAAAAACAGCATTTGTGGAAAACTTTTGTTTTAAAGTAATATAGGAATTCCTTTCTCTTTCATCATTACACAATATCCTTTGGTTGTTGTTATTTTATAGGTTCCAGAGAAAAAAGGAGTGCCCAGTTTAACTTAGCCTTATTTAAACAGTTCCTTAAAATACACTACACACTTTAGGCAACTTAAAAGCACATATACAAGGCTTGGATTGAAGTATACTGCTGACAATTGTTTAATGCAGCATTCTCAAATGACAGCAGTGTACATTTCTGCTGCATAACCACCAATGACAGTAAAGCCTGTAGGGCAACAAAGAAAAAGTCCTTAACATTTTTCCTAAAAAGCCTTTCAGGGCTCATGTTTTAGCTGCCTTACTGTGAAAAAAATCAGACCCCCCAGTTTTAATGTTGGTTTTAACAGTAAATGCATATTCCCTGCTAGCTTTCTCTCCATGACATAATTAGCACATCTTCAGGGTCTATCTCAGTTCAGCATGAAGCAGAGGAGCCACATGCCCCAGGTGATTTTTGTGAACACATCTCATCCTCTCTTCCAGTGTGTGACTCTGAGACTGAGCTTTTGCTGGCTAACATGTGCTGCCACTTGCCAAGGTCACCAGGACAAAAGCATTCAAACATTAATCCACTGGTGAAGAAGCTGAGCTGCAGCAGGCTATGTACAATTGAAGGTGACCAGTAACTGCTAAGGATGAATTGCAGCTTGTGATTTCTTCCATACACGAGAACTGTCAACTCAAAATACTGGTAGAAAATGAGGTCTCTAACCGTGGTTTCAGAAGTCAGAAACACTAACACCTAAGCATAGGAAAGGAGACTCAGCAGTAGCTTTGGACTGGCTGTTGAACAGTTTACAAAGGACTGGGCATAACCAAGTGCCTGTACGTGAGAGCTGCACAAGACTGCTGCAAGTAAAAGTCTGGGAAAAGGCAGGTTGAAGGGCTCAAAATTTCCTCTCCTTCCTCCAAAGCATGAAGGAAAACATGCCCAATGTGAAATCATCCAAACTGGCAAGTCAAGCCAAGCTAAGCTCCTGCATGAGTTTTAATAAAACCTCTTTTCTCTTTCTTTTAACCCATAAAGATCCTACCTGGCAGCGAAGCACTTTAAGTACAAGCTGAGCGTGGAAGAGAGGGATAGACCTAAACCCAATTATAATGTCAGCTTCAACCCACCAGTGTCTCAATGGATATTCATGTGAAAAAATCAAATGCTTTTGGCTCTCTATAGTCTGCTCATGATCATTCTGCAAAGACTGATAGGCCTCACAGTTCTTTCTGCAAATATGCTGCAGGATATTTCATATTAAGGGAAAACCTATCTCCAGAGTATATTAACAAATATCAAAAGACAAAAAGACCAGCTTTACCACAGGAATATTTAGTCCATGAAAACTTAAACCAGTTGGACCATTCAACTTAACTGGCTGACATGGACACAGGCACTTCATAGCTACACTCAACACCTTCCTGAGAGGTCTGTGTGGCAGACAGCATGTTTTGACCAGATGCTTATCCCAGTCTAGTGTTTCATTTGGCCCAGAAAGTCTGGGGGCTAGATCACAAAGATCACTCTGCTTCATGAACACTGAGGGAAGTAGTAAATTGTATGGATCAATACTGAGGCTATTATGTCTCAGTCTTTAGTGTTCCACAAAACTGTGGAAGCAGACCCCACTAGAGAGGGAAAAGCTACTTTTTCTGCTGAAATATAGTTTCTGTACTTTACTGCATTCCAAACCAGAATGTGTCAGTCCCATGAGACAGCTGGTAAGAGAATATCATCCACTTTATAGCACATCAGCTTTTCTTAAGCAAAGCTCACTCTCACAGGAAATATTTTTGTTCAGCAGAAAAAGTAGCCACCCTGAAACAGTGAATTACATGAAAGCAGCAAGTAATTCACTGAAGACATTTAGAATCATAGTTCAAATTTACCTCCATGCCAGACAGCCATCAAAAAAATAGTCTCTGCTAGCAAAGAGAAGGAAAAAATACAGAATTTTTCATTGCATGATCTCATACCACTTTGTGGACTTTGGCTAATACCAGATTAATCACAGTGGAACACATCAGCAAAGCTGACTTGAGATTGTTAAAGAGAAAGGCATTATATTGTAGATAAAAGACATCCTCTTCACTTGCCTGAAACTCAAATTGAACCCCTGACTGGTATAATTTGGATGCTGATGAAAATTACTGCTTATGTTTTTCTTTACTGCTATTTCTTCCATTTCTATTTCCATGTCCTGCTTTGGAATAATAACTAGCTGGATTAAAAGGTCATCACTGAAGATCTTGTCTCATATCTCTGTTTTCTTCTCAAGCAGGAAACTTCATAAATCTCAGAAGAAAGACTGCTCTAAACACTGTTTCCCCTCCTAATTTCAACACACAAGAATTTCAGATAAATGAAGATCTAAATACTGCTCTAGCATCCCAACAGACAATGAAGCTTTCACCTTATTTAAGGACAAATAAAATAGGTTTTGGTTTAGGGTACAGAAAGCACTAGAATATCACCTGAACATCCCTCCAGAACAAATGAGCAGAAGAAGTTCCTAATACTTGGAGACCTCACTGATCAATGAATCCTTTATTAGTTTACCTAAAAGTAGCAGTGTTTTATGTATCTTGGTTTCTTTAGGGACAAAAGGCTCCATGCTGCCTTTCAGATCTGATAGTGGTATATTCTAGCTTTACTTGTAAAGCCGAGAACTCATCATAGTTGAACCACACAAATCTTGCATGAGAATCCACTTTTGTAAAAGAAGTAGCAGTTATATAGTTGGTTGATGACTATAGATGAGCTCCAAATCAACAACCAGTAAAGGGCATTGGATAATGAGGACACAAACTATATCATTCTTATTGGATGCATCCCTATGCCATGGAGTGACAGATAAACCTTTTATGTTCTGGATTCAGGTTGAGAAAAAAGAATCAAGAACTTTGTCTAGCTGAGCCTTCATCTCCATCAGCTATATTTGCAGGGTGTTTTGGAGATCCTGTCCATTGCTCTAGCAGCCCAAAACAAATTATAAGCATCTCCAGGTGATACTTGTTTTTGAAAATGACCCAAGGGCAGGCTGCACTTCAAGAGAGGAGAGCATATGCCATAACTTCACTGTTTATGTTATCATGATAAACTTTGGAAATGCTACCAAAGGGGAAAAAATCCCCAGGCTGCATTCATAACTATAAGCTGTTGGTATAAAGCTCAGCTGATAATGTATTATCAGCTCTTGACCTGATAACATGCCATGATGTGATATTGCTGATTACTGAAGTTTTTTCTGCCTTCTTGATTCACCCAAAGGTATTTATTCTGCCAGTTGTCTGCGAGATAAAACCTTCTTCTGGTGTTCACTAAGTTTCCTTAGCAGAAGAGCCACAGTACTCACCTGTCTCAGGTTTAGACATTTTACTTTGTCCTTGACCAAGTAAAATTCCCAGACACACACAACTGAGCTTGTTCCAGATGTGATTATGGTAGTTGCTGAAGGACACACAGCACAGAGACACTTTCCCCAGTCTGCCATGCACTCAAATGTAGTCACATTCTGTACAAGAAAGAATGTTTATATCAAATGCTTATCTGGTGACACCATACATTTATTATTATCATATGGCAGATTCAGTTTTCAAGACTGAGCCTTCATTTTATCAAATCTAGAAAAGAAAAGCCTCTAGAAAGAAGAGCCTTAACCAGCCTCTATATTCACAGCAGAGCTGTGAACACATGGACATGCACAGGCTGTGGCTGTGTGGAGCTGTGCCATCTTCCAGGGGCCAAACAGGAAGGCTGGACAAAGGTCAGTATCTTGTATCTTATGAGATCTGAGTCCTAAGTGTGCCAGACCTCCTACGCAGCTTCAGGAAAACTCATTCTGCTACCATATAGTAAGAGAATCCTAACATCTAATGCAGATAAAAAAGAAAGCCCAGGCTGTGACAGTCACTGCTAACAGGGTGTCAGGCTCCATAACCCTCCTCCTACTTGGATTGAAACGCTCACATTCTACATTATCTGTCTCCCCCACAATGCAAAACTCTGCGGTGCTAATAATTCTGGTGGAGCTGAATGGCACAGCTACACAAACCCTACCACAGACAGAACAAACCTTTACCTACTTACAGTGAGGGAAAAAATTTAAGTCACTGCTAACAGGGTGTCAGGCTCCATAACCCTCCTCCTACTTGGATTGAAACGCTCACATTCTACATTATCTGTCTCCCCCACAATGCAAAACTCTGCGGTGCTAATAATTCTGGTGGAGCTGAATGGCACAGCTACACAAACCCTACCACAGACAGAACAAACCTTTACCTACTTACAGTGAGGGAAAAAATTTATTATAAACTCATGAGGCACTGCTAACCAGAGGAAACTTAAGCTGGACTCCCAACCACTACTCACAGTGACTGTATAATCACACTCACTATGCTCAGTGTCACCCTGACTTTTGAAGAGACAAACTGAGTCATTTATGCCTGCAGCAATGCTATGAACTACTAAGCAAATTTAATTGAAATAAGTGGTGAAAATGCTCAATAATTTTACCTAGGGGGCAGAAAGTAAAATACACCTCATGTTTTTTTCACTTTGTGGGTATGCCTGTAAAAACATAATGATGCCACTTGCACAAATACCTAAGTCAGTATCTTGCTGAATTATGTCTTATGCTGTTCTGGTGCCCAAGCTAACTCAGAAGTCTTTGTATGTCATAACATTGTCTCAAACACATCCAAATATTTTGTGCCAGAGGAAGAAATTGGATCTGTCAAGTGCCCTAACAAGCAGTCTGATGATATAGACAATTGATTTTTAACAGCAAAGATGTAAGAGTATTAATTTTCCAGAATAAAAGGCATTATTAGTTTGAATGAATGCACTGGACTATGCTTGGGAGCCAAAGGAGAAATAAACAGATGGTTCTGTCTTAATTCCAGCAGAAATTTCTGCACAATGACATTTCTAACCAGTGACCAGGAGACCTTCTGTTGTCCTTACAACCTGTGAAATAGGCTATCTCCTTCATTTTGATGGACAATACAATCACTGCATGGAAAACTTGAGATAATTTAAGAGGAAAATTCCACATTTTTGAGCAGTGTAGAATGACTTTGTACTGTTATGATATCCAAGTTGAGATAGAAGAAGCTTGACTGTGAGAATGTCCTGTACAGCATCCTCTGAAATCAGCTCCTCAGCAGTCTCTGAAATGGGTGCCTAAACCAGTCAAAGACCACAACATATCATTAATTTTTGGAATTCTTAGACTTTTTCTTATTTACCTTCTCAGATCCATAGTTGCCAAAGCAGCAGGTGAAGTCCTCAAATCCCCAGCAGAATGTTTTGCTCCAAAGAGGAGGAATCAAAATTTTATTTTTTTCGACAGCCAGAATGCCTTTCTCGGTGTGAACAATGTGCCCAATAGCTCCCTTGGGATAGTCTGACAAGACAGAGAACATATTTAATGCTGGCTTTAGAGTATTTATGTTAACTTTTCTCCTTGCACAGCTTGTGTGGTGAGGCTGGCAAGCCCCACAACTGGGTTCAGTGCTGTGGCCAGACCCACAGACAGAAATCCACTCTACAACTGAGATTCCAGACAGAACAGTGGAAACACTCCTCTCCAATGGACCACATAAATCCATGCAGAGGGAGTGATGTGTTTCAAAGGAGAGGCTTTAACAGCAGTGTCATTAAGTTCTTTTTCACTGGCAGACTGCCTTATGCCATGCACTAGAGGATGCCAGGCATTGTCACCAACAGCCTCTGAAGTACAGCTATGGGAACGTAATGTCCTCACAAAGATATGTGATATAAAGAAAACTACTGTGGGATGAACAAGTAGATACACTGAAATGTTCCAGGCTTCTTCATAGAAAAGTAGCAAACGAAGAAAAAGAAAAGATTTGAAGATTGAGAAGTGGGGAAAGACAGACCTTACTTTGCTGTTGAATATAAAAAGAGAGAATTCAAATGAAAGACAGTGAGCTTTAGCTTTCAATGTAACATTTTAAGATTGCAGAAGAAAGAAAGATGTAGGTGTCTTAGAGAAAAAAATCCCTTCTGAACTCTACAACAGAAATTTGAGTGTTTTCAATGCCCATTCATAATACCCACATACACAAATAACAATTGGCAGAAGGGATCTTGACTGAACCAACTCATAGAGAGTTGTGTGACTCCTTCTGTGCTCTTGAAAATCCACATTCATCCTGTTGAAGAACTCTGTACTTATTAGTTCAAAAAATGGAACACAGCCCCTGCAGCACCTTTTATAGTCACTGGCGAGAGCTTCAGATTTTTCAGGCTGCTCATAAAGGGAGGAAGAATTCCACTTGAATGAAGGAATGGCACAGTCTCT